GACCCTAAGAGAAGGGTCAATGAACTATGGCCATAGACCAAATCCCATGCCTGTTTTGTAAATGAAATTTTATTGGAAAACAGCCACATTCAGTCTTTCATGTATTGCCTAGGGCTGCTCTTGGGATACAGTGGCAGATTTGAGTAGTTCAGCCTACAAAACCTAAAATAAGTACTACCTGGCCCTTTCTAAAAAAGATTCCAGCCCCATTAATCAACTTTCTATGTGTAGGAATGATTAACCATTCACATAATCATGCGGCCATAGCACCGTCCTGTCTATATCCTTCCTTACAGTTCTCAAGACTTCCAAGGAAACTTGGCCAAATATTTTACTGAAGTCCTGATCTTGTAAACTTGTTAAAAAGGTAAGTGGGACTACTCTGGCATGACTTCTGAATACTGAACCTTCTACTAGCTGGGAATAGTGGCTCACTTAGAATTTGTTCTATCACCTAAGAGTTATCTTGTTGAATGAGAGCCCCAATTGATGAACTCTAGTGTTCTTTGTAGGGAATTTCTGAGGAATACTTTTTGTATGGGTTGTGCTTGTTGCTAATCCTCTTTTGTGGTAAATGGTAGTTAACTTCAAGGCAGATTTTGAAAGGTCAGGAAAATGTGTTACAATGGCAGTGATGGGAACCATAGGGGTGGGTACATATTGGGAGAGAATGATATTAACCTTGATGGGCTTAAAGAAGTGAAAGAGATAACTGCCTAAGTCATCGCAACTTGCTATTAACATGAATTAAATGGGGATGGAGGATTAGTCTTTCCTGTTTGACTGATACTTAAAATAATAATTTGCAAGAGAAAAAATATGTGTATGGGAAAGCAAATGAAATGCGACTAGCAAATTATCAGTTCCCAATGTATCTGTGTGGGGGTGAAGTGAGGTGTGGTTGAGAAAGCAGCTCTAGCAAGAGGAAAGTAAATTAAAAAGTGAGAGTAGTGATTAAGAAAAGTCAATAACAACTTGGTAATGGATGTGATCAAATGGTAGAAGGGAAGTCAGCCGAGTGAAGAGTGAAAGACGCTGGAGTCATTTTGTACCTCACTGCTCTAGAGATCACGCCATGAATACCAGAATTAGCTCTGTTGTGAGACATCGAGGATTTGCAGAAGATATAAGACTAGTGATGAAAATTACCGAGCCCTGAGAAAAAGTAATTTATAGATAAAGCAGTGCAACACTTCTTATCAGATGGGTGATGAGAAGAGAACAGTGCAGTGAAAGGGTGACTTGAAACAAATACTTCTGCCCCACTAAGAAAATAAGGTAGATTCATGCCCATTATTCTTGTGTATATATTACATTTTTGTAATCACTCTGCATGACTAGAATGACAGTAAAGTTCAAATCCTACTCCCTGGCTTCTAATGAAGAACCGAGAAAGAAAAGAAAGGAAGAAAGGTGAGTTGGCAGAAATATTTGCTATTTTATCTTTAACTAGATATTTAAGTAGCAGGGGAAGCAGATGTTGATATTGATTTTATTGTGCACTTTATACTTAAATTTACTTATTGAGACATTGTTTAATTGATTTTTATTGTACATTTTAAATTTACCTATAATAGCCCCTGCTGTTGTCAGGCATTCTGCCAGGAGGTGACCAGATAAGACATAGTTCTGTCCTCAAGGACTCATGTTCTAACTGGAGAATCAGATAAATAGTCAGTGATTTAATATGTGCTATAATGATGAGGTCCAGAGGAGAGACATCTAGAGCAATCTATAAAAGTTTCTGAAAAGTGACATATAAATTGATATCAGAGAAATAATTATGGGTTATTAAAAAGAAAGGCTGGGACACAGGTATTCTCTGCCAAACGTGAATAGGTACACTGATTGCAAAATGGCCCAGATTCTCCACCCACTTATGTACACACTCCTTTGCAATGTGGGTTTGCTGTTCCTCCCATCAAGTGGTAGAGTCTATTTCCAAACCATTGAATCTGGGATGATCTTGTGGCTTGCTTTGGCTGGTAGAATGCAACAGAAATTATCATATGTCAGTTTCATGTCTAGTTTCAGGAGGCTTTGCATGCTTCTGCTTTCTTCCTTTTCAACTCTGCCACCATCATGAGAATAAACCAGGGCTTGCTTACTGGAGGACGGGAGACCATATGTAGAAGAGCCAGGTGAAGCCATGCTAGAACATTCTAGACCAGCCAGCCTCCAGCTGGCCTACTGGCATACTGAGCAAAGAAAAAATGAGCCAACCCAATGGAGATCAGATAAATCTGACCTAAATTGGAAGAATCACCCAGCTAAGCTATAGGTTCATAGGAAGTAATAAATGATTGCTGTTATAAGACACTAAATTTTGGAATGATTTGTTATGCAGTAGTAACTTACTAATACAGTAAATCTGAAGGTATTAGCAAGAAGGGCACATTCAATAAAAGGAAAATGATCTAGGGTGGATAAAGAATGGCATATGAAAGGAGAGGGGTGAAAGGTGAGAATGGAGAGCCAAGCAAGAACTGGATCCTTCAGGGTTTTATAAGCCTTACTAAGGAACTCTCTAGGGTTTTGAAGCAGATGCATGATCATATTTCTATTTTAGACAAATTACTGTTTATTAAGGTTAATACTAGGACTAATACAATGCTAGAAGGAATGGAGGCTAGTAAAGTAGCATTATAGTGATCCAGGCTAGAGTTGATGATATCCTGAACTAGAATAGGAACTATGAGGTTGGGTAGAATTGGACAGATTAGAAGCATGATTGAGAGACAGAATCAATAGGACTTGTTACTTTATCAAAAAAGAGAGTTGAGAGAGGGGAAAAAAGTCCAGAGCTGATGTCTGGTGTCTAATTTGAGAAGATAAAATGTTGGGGATGAGGTATATTTACCTCATCCCCAACTTGAGTTCAGATATGTATAAATAAGTTCAGTGCACTCACAAAGTCCCAAAGAAGACTGGATGACAGATAGGGCTGACCAGTTTCCTGGCAGTGATTTTATGATGTTGGGATCAACTCCAGATCAAGCAGCCAGACCTGAGGGTGAGAGGAGGTAGTACATTTAGCTTTTCCGGGAACTCATCACCTTTGGGGTGTGATGAACCCAGGAAGGCAGAAGAGCCATGAGTGTGAGTAGGACCTGTGGGTTCCCTAAACCTTGTGACACTTTAGTTCCCAAGCAGCCTTGAAGTGGAACAGCCCCCCAAATGAGTCTCTTTTTCATCTTGAGGGGGCCTGTTTGGATGCTGCCATTAAGTGATCCATAGGACTGAGGATTTGGAAGCAGCAGCTGTATCTCTGCCTCATGGGAGCAGCTATAACACACCTCTACCGAGCTATCAGGGCCAGCTGGGCCGTGGAAAGTTCCACAGAGGTAGCAAATCTGCTGAGGTGGCAGAGGCAGCTATAACTGGTGTGATTACACCACTGCACAGCCCTCCTCAGAGATTTAGGACCTGCACCTTTGGAGATCCAGCATGGTTGGCAGCCACAGCAAGCCAGAAGCGAGTCTCATAAACAGGTACCTACAAGGCAGCCACGAGAACCCCTACAACTCCTTGAGAGGGGATATTTGCAAGGCACTTACACTTCTGTATAAGCAGGTGGAAGCAGAGAGCTAAGGGAAATCTGGTATTAATATTAATAGAGCAATATTTTCAGTCAATATTAATAAGACCATATTTGTCCACACAATCTGGTAGAGATGGAAACACTCGGGTGTACTTACAGCCTCGGACAAGGCTAATCTCTTGATTGTCACACCCTGAGAATGGAGCCCATGATTTCCACCTTCTCTTGCATCCACAGCAGTGATCCAAAAGGTTCAGTTTCATTTGGAAGAGGTATGATAGCATATACACCTCTGGCTGGCTTATGAAAAAAAATTCCAGCCGATCTAATAAAAGACTCGAAGAGAAGAGTGGCTTTGACATTTGAGTCAAATTTAGACATTTAATTCTCTATCAGGTGCAGTTCAGTTTTATTAAATTGAAACCAATTTGAAGGAAAACTCAATAAGATTGGAATCTTACTTCAATTAATGAATAATGCTTATTACTTATTGCCAGATATACAGCTCTCAGATGATTAGCTGTTTGCAAGACAAGAGACATTTAACAAGGCTGTGCAGCAGCAAAATTAGAAAAATTGTAAGATATATTATTACAATATCTTAAATATATTGTTATAAGATTTATTTTATTAAGAAAAAGCAACTGTAGGAAAGAAATCTTATTGCATCCCTAATGCAAAAACAACAAAGTAACTGAAGTTCTAACTTAGGAGTAGGCAAACTTTTCTGTAAGGGGCAGATAGTAAATATTGTAGACTTGGTCCATACAGTCTCTGTCACAAATACTCCACTCTATTAATGTAACACAAAAGCAGCCGTAGACAATATGCAAACAAATGAGTGTATCTATGTTGCAATAAAACTTTACCTACATACACTGAAATCTGAATTTCATATAATTTTCATGTTACAAAATATTAATCTTCTTCTGATTTTTTTTAACCACTTAAAAATATAAAAACCATTCTTAGCTTGTAGACCATTCAAAAACAGATGGAGCCCTGGCCGGTTTCTCAGTGGTTAGAGTGTCTGCCTGCTGACCAAAAGGTCTTGGGTTCAATTCCCAGGCAAGGGCATGTAACTCAGTTGCAGGTCCCTAAACCCTGGTAGGGGTGCATGCCAGAGGCAACCAATCAATGTGTCTCTCTCACATCAATGTTTCTCTCTCTCTCCCCCTCCTCCTTCCCTTTCACTCTCTCTAGAAATCATTTTTTCTCTCTCTCCCCCTCCTCCTTCCCTTTCACTCTCTCTAGAAATCATTGAAAAAAATGTCCTCAGATGAAAATTTAAAAAATATAATAATAATAAACAGATGGAAAACCAGTTTTAGCCCATGGGTTATACTTTGTTCTCCCCTGTTATAGGATTTGACTTTTGAAGACCTGCCACAGATTACCGCTAAGGTTTTGCAGGTACTCTTACAGGCACCCACTGTTGGGAACACTCTATTTTAACGAGTCTACCTGCTTTCTGTTCATGTTAATCTCAAAGTCTGGTTGAAATGATGTTCCCTGCTTCACTTATAACCTTCCTCTCATATGTCTCTCACCTTCTGCCCCAAAGCTCTTAGATTTACTTTATGTACAAACTCAACACCTTTATAACTCAGTTACCTCCCGGATGATGATTTTCTAAGCATACTCATATCCCCAAACTCAGCAAGTTGTGTACCTTAAATAGGTACGATTTTTGACATGTCAATCATATCTCAATTAAATGGCTTAAATATAAATAAAAAATTGAATAGTGCATGTTAAAACTTGGCACAGGGTCAGACATAAATATTTACTATTATTATTAGGCATTATTTTTGTACTTTCTACCTTGAAAAGTAACTTAATAGAAGGAATTTCATTGCCCAATATTTTGATGTTGAATTTGTCCAAAGAAATTGATCTCAGATAGAATAAAGTATCTGTGTAGAGTAAATTCAGATCTTCTACTCCCCTCATGAACTTATAGTGATAGTGATACTATTATCCTTAGTTTCTTTGATGAACCTTGTATGTGAAACTATTATTTTCTTGAATTACAAAAGCTTACTATTTATATGAACATACACTCAAGGGGAAAATGATAATGAAACCAGCTGCTTGGTTTTAGAAAACATTATGATAATTTTCCCTTTGCAGTTTATAGAATTTTAAAATTACATGATCCAAATCTCTTTCAGAAAAAAAATTGCCCAAGATGAGAATCTTGCCATCTACGGAGAGTCCTGTAAATGTTGTACAAATAATTACCATAAAATTTAATGAAAATCTGTTTCAATACAGTGAAAATCAAAGAACAAGAAATATCTACCATCCTGGCAGCAGCAGTGAGAGGGAGAAAAACTTACCATGTTTTATAAGTAAATGTGAGGATTTGAACTAATGGGCATAAGAAAGGGAGGAAATAATTACAACTCCATGCCTCAGAGAATGTTATTTAATTAAGCAAAATGATAACAAACCTCCAGTCAAGACATAGTCTCACGTTCTTAGTAATTTACACTAAGAGGGAAGGAAGGAGCCAAAGTAATAACTAGACTGAGATAAATTAATGTTTTCATTTCTGGTGAGCTTCCCCATGCACATTAGTGTCACCATCGGTAGACTTGCTTCTTTGTGTGCTTTTAAAAATGGATAGACTGAGCAGAGAAAAACATTTTATTCTCATCTCACATTCAACAAGCTAATTGGATTACATTAACAGAAACAAATAAATTTCCTCCGAAGCCTTTCAAATCTTTCCAAACAAAAGCTTTGTTCCATGATGCATAGAGCAGACACATTCAAAGTGACTTCTCCCCAAAGCTGGATCTTTTCCACCATTCTTGGAAGAAGGAATAAAGAAACAAGATCATTAGAGGCAGACAGGGTAGGCTTCCAGGCTTTGCCTATTGGCAACTGTGTGATCTTTGACAACTTACTTGAACTTCTGGGCCTGTTTTTCCTCATCTGTGAAAAGGAGGAAAATGATACTGTCTTCCAAAAGCAACCTCCCAAAGATGGCTTGGGAAGTATAGTCTGAGGACCTCCATAATTTCCATTAACCACCCATCCCCAAAGCTACCACAGGTAAAGAGAAACTAAGTAAAAATAGTATGAGTGCCTTGAAAACAAAGCTTCAAACTAAGTCCCTAAATTCTTCCTTCTCATTTTCTGCATCCAACCCACATGGAACTTAGATCACTGTTTCTAAGACCTTCCCATCTAACAAGTCTTAGTTAAAACATTTTGGTTGTAAATTAGGTCCATTCAAACCTGCTAAGCAAAAGCTTATTGGAGAGATTATAGTTTATCTTTTAGAGCCCGCAGAAGATCAACATTGGGAACTGGAAAACTGTCAGCAACCCAGTGGATCTCTGAGTTCTTCCCTCTACCTCTCTCTACATATGTATTTCCAAATTTGTTTTGTTTTAAAATAAAAAGAGGACTCTAGGACACACACTTTAGAATATAAACATGAAAAATCTCAAATGCCTTAGATTTGGGAGTCCCGATTAATTCTAGAAGCAGTGGCCATGAGTTTTAAGTAAACAATTCAAATGTCTCTGCATAGAGTGATACGCTATTCAGCAAGACCAGTGGGATGCTCTCACAAAGCAAGTACATTTTTGTCTTCCTCTGCCCTCTTTAAATTCCCCCAGCTAGGGCTAGCTTGTTCCTCGCCCAGGGATTAAAACTGGAAAATGCATTGATGTTGCTATTTATTCTTAGGTAATACAAAGTTCATGATCACTTTAAATCTTAGACACAATCTCAATTAGAGTGGTCAGTCTCCTAATGAACCCTTCAATCTTCATTTGAAGTTTCTTGTGCCCCTCCCCTGAGACTATCTGTTGTTACAACAAAATAGAAGACAGGGCCTTGCTGGCTATTACCCTGCCAGTGAAGATTTGCCCCAACACCCTTAATCTCTGGGGGGAGCTGAAAGGTTTAAGAGTTGTTTATTCTTTGCCAGTGCTTGGTGATGGTTGGCCTCACGACCTCATTTGGAATCTAATCCCATAAGCTTTGGTATTGGTCCCAGGGTCCCTTGTCCAGTTGCTGTGAATGCCTTTGCTCAGGCCCCCGCAACTTTCTCACCTCTGGAGGATTGTCTTCGGTAATTGGAGTGGCCTTGCTAGAGGTGCCTGGGAGTTTCCCCTACCCAAGCTGCCTCAGGACTGTTGGTGTGAGGGAGCCAAAGCCCAAACTCCTAGTCTCAGGGCTGGGCCACATCTGTGGTGCTATTCATGCTCCAAAGCTCCCCAAAGGTTCAAGCCAAGGCCACACTTGACCTGAAACCAGTTCTTGATTAATCTCTCCACTTCCCTATCCTGCATTCTCCACTCCTAATAGACTGCTTCTCTAAGCACTCTTTTAATAAATTATATAAAATCCCTGTCTCAGGTTCTATTTGTAGGGAATACAATCTAAGACAGCTACATGTTGTACCTTAGTTCCTCAGTCAACACTTTCAGTTAACATCTGTTACACCACAAGCTGATTATCCTATATTACTCTAGTCCTTTTCCATCAGGACAATAATGAAGACCCCTGAACAGTCTTTAATAGTCTATAAGGCACTGCTTTGCCTCAGAAAAACAAACAAGCCCTAGCCAGCTTTGCTCAGTGGATAGAGCATCAGCCTGCAGACTGAAGGGTCCCAGGTTCGATTCTAGCCAAGGGCACATGCCTGGGTTGCAGGCTTGATCTCCAGTAGGGGGCATGTGGGAGGCAACTGATCAATGGTTCTCTCTCTCATCATTGATGTTTCTATCTCTCTATCCTCCCTTCCTCTCTGAAATCAATAAAGAAATATACTTAAAAAACAAACTTGCATTTCTATAGCACTCCTATTTTCTCTCTTATCTCTGATCGCTTCCTGTCCAAAGGAGAGAGATCAATGTGGTTTTTATTTTTTCCTTTTTCTCTCCCCTTTAAAATCATATATTTGCTGTTCAATACCTAACTGAATACCAGTATTTTCTAGTAAATCAGAAAGGAGGATTATCTGTCAACTCCAAAAAGAAAATCAAACCAAGATGCACAGGCACACACACACAAAATCAATTTTCTCCAGTGCATTCACCCTACATCATTCCTTCAGCATAGAAACAAAGGAAAGGGGCTGCTTTGGGCTGGCAGAAAACTTGGCCCAAACGGAAACAGAAGTGGAGAGGTGAACTCAGAGTTGTCTGTACTAAAACAAAGCCTTTCTGCTAGTAAATAATGTGCATTGCTCATAGATACAGAGAACAGACTGACAGCTGTCAGAAGAGAGGGTTGCTGGGAGGCTAAGTGAAAAAAGGTAAAGGGATTAAGCAAAGAAAAAACTCATAGACACAGACAATGGTATGGGGATTATCAGAGGGAAAGGAGGTGGGGGAGGTAGAAAGAGCAAAGGGGGATAAATGGTGACAGAAGGAGACTTGACTTGGGGTGGTGAACACACAGTACAATATACACATGATGTGTTATAGAATTGTACACCTGGAACCTATATAATTTCATTAACTAATGTCACCCGAAAAAATTCAATAAATTTTTTAAATAAATAAAAAAAATTAAAATGTATTTTTTTAAAAGGTCACTCTTGATTATTTTCAGTCAGTTCTGTCAGAAAAAAATCTGATTACCAAGAAGAGCATTTTGTCTAAGCGTGAATTGTAGCGCATAGAAAGGCAACTTTAGTCCAGGGAGCCTTGAGGGGAAGGCAGCCTTAAATGCGTCCCACCTACCACAGGAAAAGACAAGGAAGAAAGAAAGTTCTTGATAATGCTCCAGTACAGAGGTCAGCAAGCTTCTTCTGTAAAGCACCAGACAGGAAATATTTTTTTTTATTTTGGGGGCAACACTATCTCTGTCCCAACTACTCAACTCTGCCACTGTAGTTTGAAAGCAACCTTAGACAATGCTTAAAAGAATGGGTATGGCTGTGTTCCATTAAAACTTTATTTATGGACATAAATTTGAATTATATATAACTTAAATATATCTTAAAATATTCTT